TATATGATCACAAAATCTATTCATCAAAAATCTCAACAGGCTATAATACTAACCTTACATTATTTGACAATTAAAAGTTTAGGTCTGAAAATGATTGTCAATGTGGTTAATAATTTTTAAATATTAATCATCATGCTGGGATTTTGGTTTCGAGATTTTGGATATCAGGATTTTGGTTTCGAGATTTTGGATGTTGGGATTTTGTAGTAGAACCGAAAATTAGATTGCATCGTTGTTGGACTGCCAAAATTTTTTGCATCATTCCTTTTCTAGCCTTACGTTACGGTGTGCCGTAGCATGCATATATTCCGTAACTCAATTTTATATGTCTAAACTTGCCGTAACTTGTCGTAACTTGTTATATATTGTCTTTTTTTTTTTTTTTTTTTTTTTTTTTTTTAGGTTGATTAGACCGAAAATTTTCTTCTTCGGATGAGTTATTTTGACTATTATCAATTCCTTGAGATGTAATAACTTCCTTTCACTCTTGAAGTGATTTTGATGATTGTTGGGAAGTAGAATGCTGACATGTAAGAAGTTGATTAATGTTATAATTTAATTCAGATAATTAAAAATTAGAACCGAATTAATTGTTTGTTAATAGACAATAATTTCAAGAAAATATATAACCTGTTTTTATTACGTATAAAATATAAACTATAATATTTTTATTACATCATTGATTGATATATTGAATTACTATCTGCTATATATTTATATGTATTATGGCCAGGCGCTAGGAAGAAGTTTGCAAAGTCTATGCGCTCTTGAACCAACTCTTGGATTATGTATTCTTCGGATTGGCTCTATTTTCCCTTTTCTAAAATTATTGCTAAGTCTTCACTTTTCTAGTGAAACCATGACCAATTCGGTACGTTAAATAGTCGGAAACTAAGTGAGGTAGTCTACTGCTTAAGTTCAATACCACGTCTGTATTACTGTAACCCGGAATATGAATATCGAATTCACCTGCACAAGACAAGGTCTAACGAAGTCTATCCCTACAATGCACTATAATGGGTCTGGCAATGTAGAAGTTTATTTTACTATAGTATTGTAGGGTAGTTTGATGCAATGCACAACTTATAGAGTAGTTTATTTTCAAGGTACGAAACTCATTCTTTATTGTGGGTGAATAACCCGAATATATATAATATTATGTACATATACACAAATCTATCTAATAAAGCTATTTGATCTTGTTTATTCGTTCACTCTTAGTGAACGCGGTGTTGGATTATAATCATAACATCTACTAGAGGACTGATCAAGATCGTTCAAGTATTGTAAAATAATTTTTTTGTGTTTCACACCGTGTGTAAAATCAATCGTGTAACATCAACGTTTCCTCCTGTTGGGCAAATCGCGCGGTTTCACCAAAAATTCCACGCGTGACGCACGGGATTCATTATTAAGATTTGAGTCTGTTTAATGGTAAAATTAGCCCAGGAACATATTTCGCTTAGGGTTGAAAATTACATTTTACAAATTTACAATACATGTAATTTCACATAAGTTTTAGTAATAACACGGATTTCATGTAAATTTCATGTGATATATAGTATGAAATATTTAGCTAGCATTATTGAACTTCAATAAAGCTAATTAATCAAATTGATGCGCATATGATCAAGGCAATCACATTGAGTAATATGATAGAATTATCTCATTTCTTGCAAATTATGATAACTTCCACCCTCATTTTCACTTAATGGGTGGCCACGATTTCATTAGCTGTTAGTAAAAATTCGAGTAATTTTGCCTAAATTTTTGATTGTTGATCAATTTACTTAATAAAAAATCTAATTAATAATATATTATAATTAATTCATATTAAAATTTATTAATAAAAAAAATGTTTATTTAATTTAAACAATAATCTTTTATAATTTGTAACTAGAATTAGATGATTTTATTTTTATTTGATCCATCTTGATAAAATAAAGCAAATGATAATAAAATTATCTATTTCTGATTTCTATAATTGGTCATACATTATAATACTTCCTTGTATCTTATATCTATTATTGTAGTTTCGTCAATTTCGACAGTTTCGCCAGTTTCGACGGTTTTTTCAGTTTTGACAGTTTCGCCATTTCGCTATTTTCAAATTTTTTTTGGCGAAACCTCTAAGTTTCACCAATAACACTAAACAGACTGTTATCAAAAATAAATATTATTATCGTACTTGATGTTGACATCTGCTTGAAGTTAACTATTAAAAAATTAGACCTTTCTTGCTTATGTTATTTAATAATTTTAGGCCGCTACAACTTCAAATGCTTGAAGTTACAACTTTAGCAAATGCTAACTTAAGCATGACATTATGATATCAGTAAAAAAAAATTACTAATAATTAAAATTTTAACTTGTTATAATTTTAAATTTATTTGATTTAGAAATTAATAAATAAATACTAAAAACAAATATTAGAATTTAAAATTCAATATTCTTGTATTCAAAGAACAATACAAAATTCTTAAAACTATAAATTGCCAAATTATCTTTTTCCATAAAAAAGATTAAACAAATTTTCACAATATTAGAACATTAAATTTTTATGATAAGATTAAAAGTTTTTGAGAACGTTAAAAAATTAAAATTTAAAATTTAAAATTTAAATTTAAATATTACTAATAACAAGTATTAATAGGTTCCAATAAGGTTATAAAATAATTAATGAATCAGATAATGATAGGTAAATTCAGAATTAAATCATTGAATCGATGTTGAAATTCTTGATTAGGGATAATACTTGTTAGCTAATTTTAGATAAATAGTATTAAATTTGTTAAAAAAAGATTATATTGAAAAAGAATAACATACTTACGCCTTATTTATTATTTTTAAATAAATAAACAGATAAGAAGACTTAATTTGAATTTTTTTTAAAAGATAATAATATTAGATAAGAGAATAAAATACTTACTTCTTATTTCTATTTTAGATAAATGGGTATATAATTAAAAAGTTAAATTGAATTTTTTTTCAAACCTTGAAATATATTGGATAACAGATACTTACGGATCTATTTATTATCCGAAACAAATTAATATTAAAATTTTAAATTAAAACTTTAAGAAATAATGATATTGAATAAGAGAATAAAATATTTACTTGCTAAATAGTATTTTAGAAAAATAATGTATAAAATTAAAGATTAAATTAACACTATTTCAATAGATAATAAATCGGAATAACAGAATAAAATATACATACGATCTGTTGTGAATGTATAAATAAAAGATTAAAATTAAAATTTTTCTAAATGATTACATATCGGATAGCAAAATAAAATACTTACTTTCTATTTGTCATTTTAGATAAAATAATTAAAAGATTAAATTTGAAATTTTTAAAAAATAATACACGTCACTCTGGTTGTATCAACATTTGGATATATCACATCTGGCTACAATGATATTTTTAAAATTTTGAATCTATATAATTAATATGAAAATACGTCTGATTAAACTGACATCTGGATATATCGGACAATTTCTTTATTTTTTTTGATGTATCGATGTAACGAGAGTGACGTGTATATGTATTAGATCAGTATTGTTAATCACACCAGTGTGTTTAACACTATAGTTCTAAATTTTAAAAACTGCCTAAATAACTAAGGCCGGGTATACTAAATAAAAATATTCAGCAATCCAAAAAACCTTACTCTGCCGTTATTTTTCAATTTTTGCAACAAAAAATTAGGTTAAAAATTTATTATAGTGTTAAGCATTACCGGTGTGATTTAAAATTTTCGTATTAGATCAGAATAATATATTTACCCTCTATTCATTATTTTAGATAAATAGTATATAAATAAAATATTAAATTTAAATTTTTCAATCAAAGGCAAAATATTGAATAGCAGAGTAGAATACTTACCCTCTATTATTATTTTAGGTAAATAAGTATATAAATAAAATATTAGTATTGAAATTGTTTTGGAGATAATTATATTGGATACAGAGTAAAATACTTACTGGCTATTTATTATTTTAATAATAAGTAAATAATAAGATATTAAATTTGAAATTTTTAAAAAGCAATTATATTAAATAACAAAATAACTATTTACCCACTATTATTATTTTCGATAAATAAATGTACAGATAAATGATCAGAATTAAAATAGATTCAAAAAATAACACATAATAAATAATAAAATACTAACCAACTATCCATAATTTTAGATAAATAGGTAGACAAATGAAAAAATTAATAATTTTTCAAAAGATAATATTATTATACAACAAAAAAATACTTACCCGCTGTTTATTATTATATAAAAATAAGTAAATAAATAAAAAATTAATATTAAATTTATTTCAAAAGCTACTATCTTGGATAAAGGAATAAAATATTTACGGACTATTCATTATTTTAGATAAATAAACAAATAAATAAAAATGCTCAAAAAAATGTTATTGGGTAACAAAATAAAAAACATTTACCAACTATTCATGATTTTAAATAAATAGGTATGCAAATAAAAGATTAACATTGAAATTGTTTTGAAGATAAGATATTGAATTATGAAAATAAAATACTTACTCCCTGTTTTTATTTTAGATAAATAAACAAAATTAAATTTGAAATTTTTTCAAAGGTCATTCAAATTAGAAACAGAATAAAATACTTACTCCCTATTAATTATTATAGAGAAACGGATAAACGAAAGATTAAATTGAAATTTTTTCAAACGATAATTATATTGGAAAACAGAATAAAATGCTTACATCCTGTTCATTAATTTAGATAAAGAAGTAAATAAATGAAAGGTTAAATTTGAAATTTCTTCGAAAGACAATAATATATTGAACAACAGAACAGAATACTTACTCCCTATTCATTATTTTAAGTGAATAAATAATCAATAAATTAACATTTATAAAAAATTAAACATAGAATATAATACCCTAATATTTTAAATAATGAGTTAGCAAATTAGAATTAAAAGAAAAATAATTGGAAATGATAATAATAGAAAAATTAAAATGATAGCAATAAATTACATACGTTTAAATAAATCAAGATTAATGTTATTGCTCATTGGATGTGCCAAAGCAATTGCAGTAGCAAAGATGGTCAATAAAAGTAGAAAAAGGTTGAATTTCATTTTTGTTTTCTGTTAAGGTTAGTTAATTTTACTCTTTATTTCAGAAGATTTTTTATTTTAAAATTATAGATCGTATTTTCTCTTTGCAAACTTGCTAAACAGTGTACGTATTTATAATAAATTAAGAGAACATCTATTTCCACTATGAAAATTTACTATTTCTACTATTGACCGTAATTTTAATTTGTATAATATATGTATGTAGCTGATAGTCATATGAAAAACATGGTGGAAATAGATGTTCTCTAAGTTAAAAGCAACCAAAAAGAATTTTATATGGAAAAAAACTAACGTCTATCTTTTTTTAAAAAACTACAAAGTTAGTGTTTTCGGTTATAATAAATTATAACTTTTTGGAAAATTATTTGCGTACATCGGCTTTGTGTAACATCACGTACATCAATTTTTTTTGGCAAACGAAATTTTCGGATTTTGGAGGTGCAGCAAATTTTATTGGCTAAAAAAATTGATGTACGTGATGTTACGCGAAACCGATGTAAGCAAATCATTTTCCTAACTTTTTTCATGCTTGATTATATTTTTCATATTTATGGGATCATTTTATATCCTTCATTATGTTGTTAACAAAGTTTGACAATCACATGGTAAACCTTCATAACGTAAATTAAACAGGGGGATTGCTACCGACACCGCCTTAACGCACCAAGAATTAGGAAATTAGATCACGTGCTGCGGTGTCGGTAGCAATTCACTTAAACGGACTGGCCTTGCCAAATTATAGTCATGGGATCACTGAGTTAACTCCCATCACCCCCAAAATTGACTGAATGATTTTTTGCCGATCTGATAAGATTTTGATTTCAGTAAGGATCGATTATATAATAATAAACATATCTTTGCTAAGTGACAATTATGATATGAGTGTGGTACTAAGGATACCGAAAGTAGGATTTGGTGAAATGTCCGAAAGTCCTACCAAAAGTCGAAAATCATACAGAAAGTCTCAATTTTCGAACATATCACGAGACACAGACTTCGACAAAGGTCAATCATATCTTGACATAGATACTTTTAAAATCGTCGCATCCCAAAATATTATCTGTCAAGATATGATATCTTTGTCGAAGTTTACATCACGTGATATGCTTGAAAATTGAGACTTTCGACTTTCGGTGTACTTTCGGCAAGTCGAATTTACCGAAAGTATTTCGGCAAGTCGAATTTACCGAAAGTATTTCGGCAAGTCGAATTTACCGAAAGTATTTCGGCACGCCCAAAGTTATTTCGGAGTCATCCTTATGCTGTACAGGGAACTATAAAAGATGCAAGCGGTAATTAGTATTGATCAAATATTACAGTATTATTTGAGTGTCGTTAACAGTCGATCAAACATTTCACGCAGATCACGGAGGGAAATTTTTAATATGACGTCAAATTACCGACGCACCTAAATTTTTTAAGTAAAAATCTGTACAAAATTTGCTTTCCCGGATTATTTAACCAAAAAGAAGCTGTCCATTAAATTTCCGGGTATAAGTTCATAAAGTCTCTAACGTTTTATGGTTTTTCCTGTGAAATTCAAAGGTGATTAAAAATAAATCCTAAAATAATCTTGTTCACGAAACATTATATTAAAATCTAAATGCACTAAAATTTATTTGGCCAATTTTTTTACATTTTGTTTATGTGATGTCCAAAATAAGTAATAAGTAAACATCTATATTACTAATTCTCTGACGTCTGTTAATCGGTAAAAGGTTTTTGATTGGCTAAGCCTGTTTGTCATATTACTCTGTCTGTTATCTGGCGTAGAGGTTGGAACCGGTTCTAATAATTCGGGTTTATCACATGAATTTCGTGATATTAAAGAATTTATTAAAATTTAATTGGATAAATTTCCATAATATCACAAGATTTACGTGATAAACCCGAATTCTTAAAACCGGTTCCAACCTCTAATCTGGCGGTGATGTTACACAAGCCAGTACGATCGGCATCTGTAAATTTATGTACAGTACACTATTGTAACCTACAGGTCGGCTTAGTCGAAGAGGCGTAAATTGGGGGTAATTTCACATAATGATATAAATATAATGTTTATCACTATCACGCATGTAAAATAGAGTAGTCGGTGGGAGTAGATAAATTTGTGCTATATAGTAAGGAAAAACTCGTACTAAATTTCTTCACGAGTTTAGTTATCATGTAATAATGATTAATTGCCGTAATTTTGATGATCATACGGGTATAATCGTTTAGGTAATAATGATTACATTTATCGTTATTTGCGCATATAATTGATAATCATAAAATTCCCCAGTCAACTATATTCAGTTATTCGTTTCTATTTGGAGAGAAAATCGGTAAAATCCATTTATTCGCATTAATAAGAAGGATTAAATTAAAGCTATGCTAAGTGTTTTGAATAATTATGATTTCTATATTAATCGAATATAAAAAAAAATTATAATTAATCAAACCATAAGTACAATATTTATTTATTAATAGAAGTTTTAAAATAAACTACTCACCTCTCATTTAATTCTTACTTTTGACAAACTCCATGCCGAAGGCACGGGTTATAAGTTAGTCAATTAAATAAATTTAGTAGACGTTTCCATTGTGAACAGTAGGATGGTAATGCCGGAAGCTCGTTTAAGCAGGTGATCGGTGTGGCGCAGTAACGAATAAACGG